AGCAAGACTGACATAAATCTCGCCAAGTTCCGCGACAGAAATGAATCCGCGAACCAAACCCAAGTATTGTGTATCGACAGCGCTTCCAAAAGTTACGTTATGAAAACACAGCCGAAAGAGTGCAGACACGGAGGGAGAAATACTTTGAAATAACTTTTGGGGAATAGCGCTAAAACTGACATGGCTTACAAAAAAGGGGAGAGAACATTTTTGCTTGCTGCCGGGCGAAAGTGGGAGCAGCAGGGGAAATGAGGATTAAAATATAATAGGTAGACGCGAACTCAGAGAAGAAAACTCGACACAGAAAACGGAAAAGTGATAACGGGCCTCAAACAGAGCCTCCGTGAAATACAGAAAACAGACGGCGCAGGAAAGCGAGCCGGAACCAAGCCGAAGGGACGCCAAGACGGGCCTGACCCCGCACGCGCGCACGCTCGCACTCGGCCACCAAAAGTCACCCAGGTGCGCCGATTCTAATGACTCTGCCGACATCGTGGCCTGGAGACAATAGCGCCCAGAATGCACCGAATCATCCAGCCTCCTTGGTTCTCACAACACCCACCTCCTTCCCTCCCTCCCACCGCCAACACTGAACGCTGTTTGCTGCCATCACACAGCACACCGTACGTCGTCTAATCGTTATCCCTTCATCCGTCTGTCCGTATGTCTCCCTTCAACTATCATTCCCATATGCTGAGCATTTGCTCTGTTCAGAAGAAAGCGAAATGAACGAAAACTTTAACAAAACTCCACCTAAAACAGCAAGTTCTTCCGAACAATCAACAAATGTGATACCGACTCACGCGATTCACTCGGTAACCCTCACTCCCTCGCTCACCTTCCCGAAAGGGCTAGTAAGATGTCAAAGGCCCGGGCAACAATGCAATGCCTCAGAAACAATAAGCCTGTGGATGGAATCTCCCGAGCGGACACACGGCCTACAAAGAATCTCGGAATTAGGATAGCGCGCCAACACCCTTCCTCGACGCCCTCCCGCCGCCTCCTCGATTCCGACCCAATCCCGAACGAAGATTCGACAAGAGCCGCTTCCTAATCGGCTCCAGCTTACCCCTCTATCAGAGGTAGAGAGGTAGAGAGAGAGAGAGAGAGGGAGAGAGAGAGGGAGAGGGAGAGGGAGAGGGAGAGGGAGAGGGAGGAGGGAGAGGGAGAGAGGGAGGGAGGGAGGGAGGGAGAGGGAGGGAGGGAGGAGAGAGAGAGAGAGAGAGAGAGAGAGAGAGAGAGAGAGAGAGAGAGAGAGAGAGAGAGAGAGAGAGAGAGCATTTCCAATAAGTACTGAAGGTCTTATTCCTTAACCTTCATATTTACCATTATAAAAAAGTGTTTCCAAATATTACTTTGTTTTTTTTCGTCAGCGAACCGCATAATCTTCACGCGCTCTCTCGTACCCTCTTCCATCGCCAGTTTGTCAGTCAACTGTTTCCCCACACTTGAGCACACAGCCCCTCCTCTTTCGCCTTCCCTGTGCCTTCTACTAACATTGCATAAAACTGAAGCAGTCAATCTTCTAGACAAAAAAACGCATAAACGCTGAACGGGAAAGATATCTCCGATCCGACCCATCGATCCTAAGTTCCTCATCAACTACATTCTCTCTCCTTCAATCCCGCATTAAGCTTGATTAAAGTTTATCTTTGCAATGTTTCGCAAATCAATAATTCATACCTTCCCACGCTCCTCTCTCTCCGGCCAACAGTGCCTCCCAAAGCACACAAATCCCCCCCCCCCCTCCATTTCATTCTACGAACGCCCCGGCACTCCGCCTCGACTCCGCGCCCCGCAGCCCCAATCAGGGACTCTCCAAGGCGCTGGGAAGCAGAAGCAGGAGCGAAGACAAGACGCCGTTCGCGGCTACTGGATCCCTGTCTCGTCGCGTGAACGTCGATCAAGAGAACGCCACCGTCGCCCACCTCTTTGCGTCATTTTAAACGCGCCATAAACTACATTAACCGCCACGACAACACACGGCCGCACGAGGAGAGAAAGGACGTCTCAGGAACCGAGCTCCTGGGACTCCTCCGGGGAAGATGGTGAGAGACCTCTCGTGAATTTCTCCTCAATGCCTTCATATTGCCGCTTCTCGTTTTTGTTAGTGTCCTTCCTGTGATAATTGGGATTATTCTTTCTTATTGCTGGTTCACGTCAAGTCCCTCACCTCTTTTTCCTCCCTCCTCTCTCTCTCTCTCTCTCTCTCTCTCTCTCTCTCTCTCTCTCTCTCTCTCTCTCTCTCTCTCTCTCTCTCTCTCTCTCTCTCTCTCGAACCTGAGGAATTGCTCCGAAAAACAAGTCAAAGGAAGACAAAGGCCCAAAGGCAGTGAGGTCAGTCTCCCTCCCAACTCACACACTTTCCAGTATAGGCCTACGCGAAGCCTCCAGGAATTCGTTATACACCAGCATGTTTAAGCCACGCATCCGAGCGTGATACTGCGTCTGAAGGAAAAAGGTAAGTGTGTACATATACTATTTAGGGAGAGGGAGAGGGAGAGGGAGAGGGAGAGAGGGAGAGAGAGAGAGAGAGAGAGAGAGAGAGAGAGAGAGAGAGAGAGAGAGAGAGAGAGAGAGAGAGAGAGAGAGAGAGAGAGAGAGAGAGAGAGAGAGAGAGAGAAACACTAAGTAATATTTGCTCTGTTTAACAAGACATCCTTATCAAAACCTACATTTTCAGACAACGTCGAGAGTGGAATTCAAGCGATACAGATAAAATGACCTTTTCATCTCATCACACGATGTACTCGACTAACACTTGATATTCCATTCTGACTAAACGACTGGATATCTACGCGCATATATCGCTTTATTTCCAACGTCATTAATATTTATTTTTTCACGCCGAACTGCGATAATCCAGTGTAAACCTCGTCGGCAAAAGGACTCTGAAGCCATTTTCGTAAAAATGAGGCGAGGATGAGATTTCCAAATGGTCGCTGGAACAACGCTGCCTCCAAATTGAAAACACGAAGATTAGAAACAAAAAATACTTGGAACTCGAAATGAGGCAATTTTTTAATGGCCCTGACCACGCTCTGATGACCTGTAGAGAAAACTCGCAGGATGAATATACGTACATGTCCACGTACACACATGCAAACAAGTGAAACACACACATATATGGTGTCATCTATACACAAAAATATATCGGTAAAAAAGTTAACTCCCCCACTTCATTTTTTGGTTCATCCATTTTTTTATTCAAATTGTCAAAAACTATAATCCGCAGGATAACTTTTAAATAAATACGTTAGTCTGGGAATACACGTTTTATCAGCGGGAGTTTTTTCACAGAGAATTCAATTCACCTAAATTGAAAGCTACCTGCTCGGACGGGAGCCTAACACATGCAGCCCGACATGAATTCCTGCCGCACACACAGGGCGAAAGGAAGGAGGGGCGAGAGAGAGAGAGAGAGAGAGAGAGAGAGAGAGAGAGAGAGAGAGAGAGAGAGAGAGAGAGAGAGAGAGAGAGAGAGAGAGAGAGAGAGAGAGAGAGAGAATGAAGTAGACTAACGTAGAGAGAGAATGTGGAGAGGTTTGGATGTTACCGTGTATATATATTTTTAATGGCCTTAACCACGCTCTGACGACCTGTAGAGAAAACTCGCATGATGAATATACGCACATGTCCACACACACATATACACATAATCATATATACACATATATATGCATATAAACACATACACATAGTACGTACGTGCATACATACATTTGTGTGTGTGTTTGTGTATGTATGTGTACATATACACATACGTATAAACATACACATACATTCATATATATATATATATATATATATATATATATATATATATATATATATATATATATATATATATATATATATATACATACATATATATATGCAATTAGACAAAGGCGAAAGCCCCCATCCACACTGCGCAGCACAGGGAAAAAGGGCTCGCACGAAATTGTCCCCAATGTTATGTAATTTTCGCTTCCCAAACCTGATTAACAGATCCCTGCATGTCACCGTCAGCTCCACCAACTTCACTTGCAAAATACAGAACGGAATTAACTAGAGTTTTCCCTTGTCCGTAAACTGGAGATGAATCATTGATCCTTAGCATATATAATAGACAGAGAGAGAGGGAGGAAGAGAAAAGGTAGCGGCTGTAGCAACCACTTTTGTGAGTAACCTGTTCACTAACAGCACCTTTTCCTTGCTCGCACAGTTGCATGCATCTGCAATTTCTGGAATCCTTTTTCTTTGGGCCGTCACGCTTGGTTGCAAGGCAGGTCGCTTACCCATTTCCTTGGCTGAAATTACTCCTGGTCGGATCGAATCTATAATCAAATAATACACAGGCACCAACATTCATATACAGACATATATAGTATATATATTTATCTATCTATCTATCTATCTATCAATCCGTCCATCTATCTACCTGTAAAAATGTTTAATAATTTGCACAAAAAATGTAAATAATATTTTACTTCAGACAACACTAGTCGTATGGTGAAAATAATGCCAAATCGTAACTGAAAACTCGTCTTCCTCCCATTAGCTTTTCGGGCAAAAATGAAGGGAAAAAAATGATATATTAGGGAACAAATACGGACTTGGCCTCAAAAACCCCGAACGAGCCATCGCCACCCGCGGGACAGCCGCCGACTCTGGCCTCCACAAAGCCCTTTCCCATCACCGCTGCTCACATCCACACGAATATCGGCAACAAACCATCATAACGACGCAGAACATTACGAAAACAGGACAAGAAACAGCTAGACAGCCGGCCAGAAAGGCGAGAACGCGACGCCGAAACGCGCTCCTTAGCATTCGCGAAATTCGAAGACCTTTCCTTCCCGAAAATCAACCCCCGATCAACACTCTCTCCTCACTCACGTCGAGGCGAGGAAGCATTTCGGTGTTATTTATTCCGATCTACTTCCAAATTCCCCTTGAATGTTCTCGAAAACGACATAAATAAAAACAGAACAAAACACGAACTTCAGTCAACTTACCTATCATACATCGTCGGGCTTTCTTCCAGGGATGAAAAGTGTTATCCTTCGTACAATCCACTTTCATGTATCTTAAAATCACCTCTTTAACATTCACTAACACTGGTATATCTCCACGGCACTTTTCCTTTATTGAGTAATAAAAGAACTTTTCCGACGCCGCGTGGCTGGGCTGCTTAAACACCTATAGAATTTTTACTCCATCGCGAAATCGACACCACACACCACGATCATTCTCTAGAACTTCGTACTCAACAAAACATTTTTCGGTAAAAATCCTGTTCTTTCTTTTAACAACTTTACAACACTTATTTGGCCCCGAATGAAGGGGAAGATCAGGAGAGAGAGCGGCACAGTCCCCTCCCGCCGACGG